TAGACCGCGCGAGCGAGCGGTCAGACGTGTAAAACTTTTCTTGGCTGAATGAACGAAGTAATTCACGTGATTTTTTAATCTGATTCAGTGAATGCTTAACAATATAATTGTTCTGTCTTTGAGAAATTGTGCCGATCTCAATCATTCAACACTAATTAATTCATCGATAATTTAAAAGGATTTATCAAATGCTAATAATTATATATATTTATATGCAATATACTATGCAAAATAGAGCAGTATTTTTCATCCAATCGTTTAGAAAAATGCGAATAAATAAATTATCAAGGTAATCAAATTAAGAAATCATTAATACATACTTTATAAGTGACAAATGATATACTTATACATGAAACATTTAATAAATATTGTTATTTTTGAAATTATTTCTCTGTAATTTGAATCCCATTAAACTAACACCAGCAATACGTCTAGTAGTATGTTTATAATTACATGAGTAAACTATGATGGAAATCTTGTCAGTCTAATAATTAAATATCACATAAAAAAATGACAAAAATTATAAAATAAAATAAAGTAGTTAAAAATCCATAAATAGCACATCATAAATATGTATGTATAAAAGAATGTTATAACGTTATACAAGTAAAATTTTAAATCTCACATTGTGATAGTGTAATTGAGAGGAAAATACATTTCTCTTTGTTTTTTTATCAGTTTGCACGCAAGTGTTTCCAGTGTTTTACAATCGCTGTTAATTAACATTAGATATATCATTATTTACGAATCACGCATTTTTTCTTTATTTTAATTCAGCTTGCACTTTATTTATTTAAATAAAACGTATAAATCTATAAATTTATAGAATTTTATAGAAATTTATAGAAATCTTAAAATGCTTGAAAAATCATTTGGTCTCCGCATTGGAAATCATCAAATATGCATCACGAATAATTGATCGACAAAGTTGTTCTCCAAATCCAACGTAACAATCATTTCTAAGCGCACCCTACACGAGGACAGCCTTTAACACTTGACTTATGAGTGATTTATTTTCTCAAAATTATTATTCTAATATTTTCTATCACAATATCCTAAGAGAATATCCCAAAGTCTGCTCAAAATCTATTTATTAACTAGATTTTTTCGAAATAAATAGAATAAGTCAAATGACAATTTACTCGATTTTTTTCTTTTTCATTGCAAAAGGTAATAACAAGGGTTGAATTGTCAGTCGAATATGATCGAAGATGATCATTGCTATCTATCGTCATCTTACCTATCTCGCAGGTGGACGGAGATGTAGTATCGGCAGCATTTATGGCGACAACTTACCCCCCCGAGCGAAACACGCATGCACGAGGGTTGCGGAGCCCGAGGGTAGCGCGCGCGCGCGCGCAGATCGCGTCCTCGGCCGTCGTCGTCTCTCTCGATCCTGACTTTGCGCGTCCTTACGCGAACACGAACGCGTTCTCACTGACGCGGGGTCGCTTGCCGCGACTTATAGCGCCCGACCGTCCGCGGGATACGCGCCGAAGGTGGTCACTCGGAGAAGCGCGGGCGCGTTGACCACCAACACGCGCATTCTTCTCGCTGTGAATGTAAAAAATCGCATTTGCCGAACATCTTAGCTCATTCGTTCCCCTGCAGGAAATCGAAGAATGAGGAAAACAAAAACACGCAATCTCTCATCTCTTGCAAAATTATGAATCGACTTTTGTTTAGAGAAAATGTATTTGCGGATTATCTCTCGATCTTTAAGTTAGAATCTCAGCATTTAATATTTTAATGATAAAATTTGAATATTAACATTCTACTATAATTAATATCAAATTGAATAAACATGTTACATTATTAATTTCTTTCTTTGCCATCAAAACTCAATTTCATAAATTTCTCTCGATATTATAAGTATTATCTACATTATTAATAATAAATATCACATTAATAAAATTCAATTCTAGATTTCAAAAAAGCATGCTATTCATTTATTTTTCGATAATTTTACAACATTTTGTAACCAATACTATGAAGTAGATTTAAAATAATTATAAATTATAATTTCAGAATCCAATTTTAATTAAATAATATCAATTTATGAATAATTCAATTATCAATTATGAATAATTATGAATAATTTATAAATATTTTTTCTAATTTGTACAGAGACTTATTAATATATTAAACACAATCCTATTTATATAATAGATATCATTACATACATACAATATTAATAATATATAAATATTAATATAATTGTAAAATAATAACAGTCATAAATGATAAATTTTTAAAAAAGAACAGATAAAATATAAATTTGATTTTATTTATTCTGCGCACCCCTGGGTATATTATACAAAAAAGAAACAAAAAAGGTTTATAATATGAGAATTTTACAGAACATAATATATTTTGCGGAATCATTCCTATAATTCCTATAATTTATCATGTCGAGTACAATCGGTCTCGGTTGTGAACTGTTGATGAGAGGGAGAAACTTATATGAAAGTAGCACCGAATTTCTAGAATTTCGATATAATCGATAAATAGTTCTGATTTTTTTTTCTAAAAAGAAAACATTTTGGCAATTAGCAAATAGAATATCGAAATTTAAGATTTCTTAGTAGTTTTGGATTTTAAATTTTTTAGCAGAAGTTTTTGGATTTTAAATTTTTTAGCAGAAGTTTTTATAATTCATAAGTTAATTTTGAAATAGAAAAATTATATAGTTTTCGTCAGCATTGTATATATATTTAGATTCCTACCTTTCACATTTAATCACCGGACACTTTTCGAAAAAGATGTCTTAGAAACTTTAACACTCCCATAGAGAAGATTTGACTTTATATACATATATATCTTTATCGATTATATCCAAATTATCATATCTGCAAAAAAAATAAAAAAGAAAGAGAGAGAGAGAGAGAGTCCGCGAGTTTCACACGCAACACCTACGTCCACCCACGTGTTCTCCCTTTCACCCTCATCCTCTTCAGAGTTGCGCAGACCTTGTCAAGAATGCGACCAAATAACGCGGGAATACGCAGTCTAATACATAAGCCGTCGCATCTATGTATAATCGAACCTCTCGAGGCGAGGCTATTCATTCATTTATTAAGCAGCTAGCTCCGAATTATTGGAACATTAGCTTGATTGAACGAAACTGGGCACGGCCTATAATACACGGAATTTATACTGCCTTTCCTATGTCATCATCGATGAGTGAATATCTCAACGTCGGCTGCGCATTCTTACATGCGACTATGAATGCCGATCAAATAATTTAACGATCGAAAACGTTTCAATTAACATTTATTCTAATTTGAAATATTTTATTAGTAACTTTTTTTACTCAAAAAAATCAATTCTTTAAAATATAAACATTGGAAACTGAAATTAAATAATAATATTTAGAATATGATATTAAAATATGATACGGTATTTAAAATTCATATTCTAAATATTATTATTTAATTTCAGTTTCCGAGTACTATTATGTTCAGAATATTATTTTTTTAAAAGTTTACATTTTTTTTAAGTTTTATATATAATATATGTATATACTTTTATTATCCCCAAAATTTATATTTTAGAGAATTAATCTTTTTGAGTAAAAAAGTTGCTAATAAAATATTACAAGTTAGGATAAATGTTAATTGAAACATTTGTGATCGTTAAATATTTGATTTCGGCATTCATAGATGTAAGGACGCGCAGTCGAAAAATAATAATATTTAAAATATGATATTAGAATATGAAACAGTTAAAATACTTATTGGGATAAATGGAAAAATATGAATACTACTTTAATATATAATTTTAAAGTTATAAAATTTGAAAACTAATAAATGTATAAAGAAAATAATATGACATATGTTAAATATAATTTATAACACACAGACACATCATTTTAAATATATTTTGTATTTGTACTATAATATTGAAGAAACTATTGCCCGGCTATCCAGATGTAATTTGGATATTTTGGAACTGCTAATCCCGTACTCAAAGATGTAAGTCTCTGAGAAAAAACGTAATATTCAAAAAGTTATAATAAACTACAATTATAATAATTAAAAGTTTTATTATCGGAATAAAAATTAGGACATTAAAAAATATAATAAAAAAATATAATTCTAAATATGTATGTATACATAATAAGAATATTGAAAGATTAGAGGCAATTATTATAGATTTTATTATAGATATATTTTATAAGAAAATTGCATTTTTTATGTTTTAAATATATTCTATGTATTTCTAAATAAAAATTACTATCCTCACTTATTGAATGCAAGATTTTATAGATACAAGTTAAGAATGCTAAATTATATATTAAATATATTAAATAAAACTTTTCCTCAAAAATTGCAATTTCAAAATATATAATATTTTATTAATATATAATATTTTATCTTAAATTAATTTATGTATTTTTCTAAAAAAATTGTCCTATTAATATTGCTTATACAACAACGTTAAATACATGTTTATCAAATGCAATATTTAAAAAAAAATACTAATAGAGTACTATTAAAAAATAATAAGAATATAACTGCTACATATGCATATCTTGACAAATTGATATTTTGTGATAAATTTATTATTCAATTACTTATGCACTTGATATATAAAAAAAAATATATATATATATATATATACATAAAATTTATAAATAATATAATTTTTATACAGTGTCTTATGGCAATATAGAATTTATTTTTATATACTGATTTGATTAATTTATTCAACTATATATCAAATCAATAAGCATTAATTAAGCAATTAAAACAAATTTAATCAATACATAAGTAATTAAAATTAATTTATTCACATTGGAAAGGAATATTATGATATATTTTATAAAATCTCTTATTAATTTATGTTAAATTATTTTAAATGTTTTCTAAAATATCAATTTGCTCTACTTTCTCTTTTTTCCAACAAAAATGTAAAATAAATTATTTATAGATGTTAATAAGTCGTTGCAACTATTTGCAATACAAAATATTTTAAGAATATTAATATTTATTACTTACTAGTGCTATATTTTTGTGAATTTCGCCAAAAGTATCTGCAAATTTTGTTGAACTTCAGAGACAGCCAAATGTCCAAATGTCAGTTAGATCTATAAAAAAAAATTATGATATAAGTTACAATATAAAAATCAAAATAAACATGTAAAATTTTAAAAATATCAAAACTATATGTTAATTTCAAAATGGATTTATTTAATAAATTGTATCAACAAATTACTTAGGCTAATAGTAAAATGCAAATTTAAATTCGAAAATCACAAAAGAATTACAATAATAAATATATAATAATCACATCTATTTCGTGCATGAGTTAGAATAACAAAAATTATACTTATAAATATACACTTGTAAATGTTACACTTTACTTAAAATTTCAGTATTTCGAATTGTTTGATTGATCCCTCGAAAAGATAGAAATTTTTTTTCTTCAGTCAATTAAACAAAATATTTTTGAAACATTGATAATTCTAGGTAGATTATCATTTATTGTTTTAATGCGTTGTTTTTTGCGTTTTGATCATGACTTATTTTAAGATTTATGAAAAAAATTGGATTCGCGAATAATTTAAATGAAAAAACACTCACAAAAGCAATTTTCAATCTTATACGACTTATTTTTAGTCTGTATTTTCTGTATTTTTTTTCCGATCTCGCATATATTTGCACACGTCTTCTTCTTCTTTGGATTTTAATGGCCACCTCTGATCTGGGAGCGATCAGTATATTCAGGCCAACAACTGGTTTGAGCGAGAGAATAATGTAGTGAGTTACAAGGTGATGTATCAGGCGCATTCATACCATTTAAATTCATAAATTATCTTAGATCTTAGAAGATCAAAAAGTAGAAATTATGACTCTACTTGCACACGTTACTTTGAACTACTATTTGCAAAGAAACGCTCATCTCAGTACTTATACCTGCCGTAGATAGCGCTGATAATCATTATTACCATACATATCGATAAACGAAAATATGCTATAAATTATTAAGTAATCTTGCAATTTACTCATAAGCGATATTATTACGAATAATTGCGTCTATTCGGCTCAATTTATTCTTTTTGTCGACTTATGTACCTTTGAAAGATCGATAGGATAAAAGGACCTAATGGATCTCCATCGAAAAAATCTTGCCACTTGAAATTCCGGTCTAATATTTAATAAAATTACTAAATAATCTTACAATTTATTCAGAAGACGATTTTATTGCAAATAATCGCGTCAATTTGGTTCGATTATCTCTTTGTTGGCTTACTTTTACGGATTTTATCGGAGCTCGATGTCTCTGCTTCTTCATGACACGATGTCCCGCGCGAAAGAGGAATATGAAGTTGCTGCAGAAGCGCGCGTAGCATGTTTAGCCAATCAGAATAAAGTCACCAAAACTTCCTGCGTTCTGATTGGCCAAGCAAATGAAGTATTTGTAGCGCCAAGTGGAAGGTGCAATAAATCTTTAAACACGATTTTTAAAATTTTGATGAGAACGGTATTTAAATATAATAAACGCGCGCGCAATATAGATTATAAATATATAAGGAAATTTTATTTTAAATGTACAAATAAACGGAAGATAAAGTAAAATGCTCTAATATATATAGAAATAAATATCTTGACCGAAAAATATTCGCTCGATTTTTATCTTTCTAAATTCTATCTAATATGCCATTAATATATTATGTCATATTTTTATATAGCGATACCATAAAAAAAGAGAGAGAAAAATATGTATACTATTTCAAAGTGATAGCGAGGAAAAGATATATATATATATATATATATATATATATATATATATATATATATATTGATGTTTTTTTATATATATTTTAATTACTTTATACGTGAGTAAATTATTCGTTAATCTCTTAAAATCGTTTTTATTCACCAAATTTTATTAAATGAAAATAACTGGTTGTATATAATAGTATCCTGTAAAAATAAAAATTTACCTTTGAAACCTTTCTACATATGTTTCCATTGTTCACTATTATCAAAGAATTTACTGATTTATGCTGAGTTTTTTAACATTAAAAGGACTGATAACAAAACAGTTGTATAAATCATATCTTGTAGATATTTTTGATTAATATCAAGATTAATATTACTATTAATAATAAAATATATATATTTACTTCTATTGAAGGGAGAAAAACCTGATTATACTTAACTAAAGAGACTCTATTCAGGCTTTCATTCGAAATTCTTGTTTACTAAATAGAGTCCTTCTAGTGTTAAATTTCTTATGGTATAAGATATAGAATATGTTCGTACATTTTTACAACCGCTCATAAACTCTTCTCTAGAGATCACACCATCTTTATCCGCGTCCATTTTCTCGAAGAATCTGTCCACTTGGCTATCAATTATGGGTTGAATAATCTGCGCACCCTGCATTATCTCGTAAACCGCGGATATTGTAATTAACATTTCTTGTCTCGTGATGCAACCGTCTCCATTCAGATCATACAACCTGATAAACAGTAAAGATTCGAAAAGATTCATCTGCTATTCATATATTTTCGAAACTATCAGTTTAAAAAGTTGTTTCAGTTGAGAAAGAATTTGATAATAAAATTAATTAGTTTTCTCTTAATTAATAACAAATATATTATGGAATAAAATAATGTGTTTTTTTTCTTCAATCCTTACGATTATAATAACTCGTTATTAATATGAAATTATAGGAATATAAAGAAGTGAGATAGACCTTTACCTGAATATCCAGGAGAGTTTTTGATCCACATTACCATTAATAATCAATGTCATAGCTCCAAGAAGATCGCTGAAGTTAACAATACCATCACCATCCCTGTCAAAACTATTAAACACAATCTGCGCGTATCTAGTTGGCTCGCCTAACGGAAACAACTTAGTATATACGAACGTCAAATCGCCAGTTATCGCACATCCTCTGGGACACAATTGTTTAAAGACACGATACAACCTGCGAATTTCATCTTTGGAAAAGCCGGTGCGCCAAATTAGGGTTGACAATTGTTCGGGGAAGATGTACATCGAATGCTTATCCTCTTCCTCAATACTCTCTATGAAAATATAATCAAATATAGTGATAAGTGTTTAATATCACTGAAACATGCTAATACTGTACAACTAAATTATTAAAATAATTTTTATTTGTATAAAAATGTTTCAAATTGTTAATACTGCAGAATAATTGTTTCTCTTTTTAAATTATAATATATTCGGTAAATATTTTTCTATTAAATTTTTTACGTTGAAAAAACTCAAATCATATAGTTGTAACGAGTAATAATAAAATTATGTTGCTTAAATCGGGTACTATAACATACCAGTAATTTTGTGGATGCTTTCTCTCATTTTCCTTAGACTACGTTGCATTTTTATCGAGAAGCTTGACCGGCAAAAAGACTTAGAGCTATCTTTGCCATCGATGTTGTTGAAATTTGACATCCGAAAAAATTCGAAGAGATACGATGAGACAGTTTGACAGCGATCAACGCTTTTCTTGAGCGAAATGGAACTGACGCATATGCTGCAGCCAGCTGTACAAAACAGTTTTGATGATGAAGTCTGCAGTAGTCAAAATATTTAGACGATTTAACTTGGCATGTCTGCAAATTTCAACGAGAAGCGACGTATGAGCGACATCCGGATGATCTTAAATGCATTGGACATTTTCATCCACATTTTCGAACATTTTTTGGATTCTAATGAAGAAGCAGATTAAATTCTTCAAATTATATATTACATTATCATTGTGCTCTTTCTTATTAGCATTTAAATTGCTAAGTGAAATAATTCTTGAATGTTTTATACTTAAATGCTTGAATTTGCTGTATACAGAGTTTAATATCAATCTCGTTAAATCATCTTCTATTATTATAATTATAAAAAGTAAAACTAAAACTTTTGACCCAGTCCAAATTTCAATATTGTATATTTGGTAAATTCAAGATTATTTCTCAGACAAAAACAAAAAATAATGAGCCTAACAATAAATAGTATAAACACTTCTTAAAGAATACGATTCTAAAATTTTTTGTCAAAAATATGAAAAATATAAAAAATCATCTATCAACGAGCCTCTTTATATAAAATATAAAACTATATAAAACTATGCTAGATGGATTTTCTCTGCCAAATCCTATTAATAGTCAAGTGGATTGGCAACCATTACAAATAGGAAATCGCAGAATAAATCGAACTGATAATTTACAGTGCACAATTTGAAAACTTTCGGAAAATATTCACAATTTATTGAATATAAATTATTTTGAACTGATTAATCTTGTCATTTGCAATTTAAAGATCTTGATAACGAGAGGTTCTATTATTATCATTAATTTTTCCAATGATACTTGTCAAGATAACATAAATTATTTAATCCTTTAATTACAAGTCCATCTAGTCAGTTATTTATTTTATTAACTTAATAAAACAAGATCCGAGATAACACAATGTACATCAGAATCAATGAAATTGTCAACAAGTGATCCCCGCATCACAGTATATCTTAAAATCACTTATTGACGACGACAACTATGTTTTATAGAACTTATGTTTCATCGTTGACAGCCGTAGTTAAATAATTAAATCAGTCCTTCTTACGATATATATCCAGTATATAAAATCCAGTATATTATATAAAAATTGATTACCAGTATATTGTAGCTAGTATTTGTCAGTTTCTTATAAGATTGCCTGCAATGTGAATGAAGCCGAGATTTCATATAAAATGATGAATGACCAAAAAAAAGGTTTGATGATTGTACTAGGATTTCAGCTGATTTGCACTGATATAGATTAACGTTGATTGAGGGAGACAAAATTTCTTTTCTTCTAAGCAGGATTACGAGCTGGAAAAAATCACAATATTAGACATTATTGTAGCAGTTAACATAATTATTGTTATAAAACTTCTGTTAATTATTGTTTTAAAACTTCTGTAAATTTAAAACCTAAAATCTTCTCTTTATGTATGTGTGTGTGTTTAAATATTTAAACTTTATATATTGTCAAACAATTAAATGTAATTTAAACACCAGTAAAAATAATACATGAATGTAAAGCATACATTTTTACCAATAAGCACTTTATCTGAACAAATATTTGAAAAAATGTGTGCATATCGGAGAATTTAAAGTGTTAAAGGGCAACTTGCGCCATATTAATCTGTATGATTGGTTTCACGAAAAGTATGTCAAGTTTGTGAGTAATATAATCCATTAATATCTTCGCAAGCAACGTCCTTGACATAATATTCGAATGTAGAGCAACTTCCAATCAAGTTGCCAGCGCGCGGAAGAAAGACGCGACGATAAAAATTACACATCTCGCGAGAATTATATCTTACGAATTATACATATTATAATATATGTAGGTCACGCAATCTTTTTCTTTCGCAATCTTACTGAAGAAACGCATACGCCGCAAATACATTTTATGGTCGAACGCACGATATACAATGACGTACCATAATAACGTTACGTATAAAAAATTATTATTTCATGCAGAATATCGGATATACATAATGAGCCGAAAAAATGCGATTTATGAATTAAACATCGCGTATGTTAATCGAGGAATCGTACGCAATTCGATTGCGATTAAATTATACTTGCGATTACAATATAATTACATACGTCTGTTTATAAAAAAAATTATTAAATATAAGTTCTTTTTTGCAAACAGGCAGAGAAAATGTCATTATTACAAGACGTAGCGGCATGCCAGACAAATGAGTAATTATTATGTGAAATCAGAATCTTTACATATTTATCTCTCTCTGTTTTCCGCGAGCGATATTCTTATGTGCGTGGAATATGCGAACAAGAGAACAAATAAGTGCTACGAATGTTGCATATAGATTGGCATAGACAATGGAAAGGGGCCTTCCCTAAGTTCAAAAACGCGCAAACACGTGCGTCATTTTGCCAGCACGTGCAGAATCCTAAATCAAGGAAATGACAGAATTTGCAGATATCTGAAATCTCTCATTGTTCGATTCAGAATCATATCACAAAAAAAAATAAAAGAATCTATTTTAAGTGATTAAAATTCTTTATAAGTTATTAAAAAAATTAGAAATTGATAATATACTGAAATATCAAACACACTCATAAAAAAGCTACAAAATAATAAAATCTTTTCTAAAGAAAATTAATACGATTATCTGTAGAACTTAATCGAACCATATGTACATACAGTATATACAGATTTTTTAGATAAACTCTAGATTTTTATATGACAAAGGATTTACACGTTTTATATCTATAAATAAAAATCTAAAATCATACACTTCAGTGTTCACAGAATGAAAGATTTAAGAAAGCGCAAGAGAAATATAAATAATTTTGTATCTTCTACTTTCTAGCACGTTGAGCTTGTTTAAAAAGTTGATCAGATTTAAATATTCATATATTATATAATGAATATAAGCATAGAGCTGACTATTATATATTTTATTATTATTGATCGAAGATGTGTGCGAAGATACTTCTTCAAAAGGCAACGTGAATTTATTACTAGCCAAAGCGGTTTTTCTGAGCGGTAGGGCGGCAGCCTGATGTATATAAAACAGTAAGCATCCAGCATCTCTTCACTACGGGAGTATAGCATACTTGTTACAACTGTTCGCGATTAGACAGAGAGAAGCGATTATTCATGTATCCATACACATTTTGGTACAATTATTAACTCGCAAAATTGTACTGCTTGTACTTGCATTTTATAAATCGCGCAGTCAAGGAAAGAATACTTATTACAACTTACTATTGAGAATATTGGAGTGTCCAAGAAAAATGTCACATCAGTGTGTTATGGCTCAGAAAGTGTGAAATTTGAAAGTCACAGTAAAAGAAAACGCGTCGAATTAGTGACGTAACGCATCTCATTATATGATCTTTCGGTGCGTAAATATATTGTCTCTATTTCTATTTCTGTGCTATATATACCTTGTTAGAAATGATAAAATTATGCATTAATTGCACTTAATAAAATTTTCGTTTTTTATTTAGGGCGTTTATTTAATTTTATCACAAGCCCTGTATTATTACAGACATGACAGATCAAAGTAATTGTAAAGAAAATAATAATCATTTTAATTGACAAGGAATCAAATAAATGTTAAGAAATTATAAATGAACAACAAAATCTTTTTCTTTATATGATTTTACAAAAATTTTGATTTAATAAAAATTTATTTAAATGTAAAATTAAAGATTATATTTATTAAAATTTATTAAAGATTATATTTTTATAGCTGAGAGAATCTATATACAAGATATCAAGTTCAAGAAATAATTAAAATCTTAGATCTTCAAATCTTATTTTAAAACTTTGCTTTAAAAAATAAAGAAAGTTAATATTAAACATATAAAATTAAATTAAATTTTAATACATATACATATACATATATATATATTAAGATTTTTTAAACTACTTATAAAACTGGGAAAAGTAATCTTCCTTCTTTCAGATCATTACAGAAAAATTATAAAAACGATCAAAATTTTCAGATGGAATTAAAATGAAGCTAATATTTCTATTGCTGTTATTGGTCAGTTCCTCTTTTTGCGTACCTTGGCTCAATTTATGGTTTCCTCGACAATCTTCGTATGACAATCAAAATATCGAATATGGGAACGGACAAGATGGCTCATATCGGCAAAATCGTCAGGGTAGAGGTGGTAAAGAACGTTGGAAGCAAATTTGCAAGACGATAAATCCTGACTCGTATGCATTCCCAGGACGCGTGCCTTATCCTGCCGCACCTGTCTGTCCCTGGTAAAAAAAACTTTCGATCAAATCTCATATCTATCATGCCAAATACAAACAAGAACTCGTATCATGCGTTAAAAATATGAATTTATTGTAACAACTTATAGAATTTCAGACAATGTACATCCATTGATTGAGTATTTCAGTCGGTATGTTTACGTGTGTATGTCAATGTATATGATAATATTAGCAAAGTAATATACATAAATATTCGCGCAATTATATATAGTTACTTACTGTAACGCGTTCAGCATGTAAATGAAGCATGTTATGAAGCGAGGAAATAATTGTCCGTATCTTCGAACATTAATCTTATTATCATTTTAATTTCATTCCTTAATTTGCACTGGTATTGAAATTAAAAAAAACGAGTATAAACTCACATAAACATAAAGATAAAAAAATTGAACAATATAAATAATCTATGAAAACACAATTTATGAATTAATATTTTAGATATTTCATAATAAAAGAGCGTTCTATTACACTGTAAAATCAATTCATATCAGTGCCATCTCTTTTAATATTAAATTTAAGGTGCGCATATGGAATCAAATATCTGCTAATTTAGATACAGCTATTCCGAAGGCTTGTCTATCAATTTGTGTAATATAGACATTCTAAACTCGTTACATCTATTTAATATATCAATAATATTCCAAGCTATCTTTTTCTTCGCTGTCTTTTACGTACAAAAATAAATTATATACATTATTATACACAATATAATGCGAGTTTACGTTCGATTTTCTTAAAAAATGCATATTTTTACAATGCATTTATAATCACTGATAATCTTAAATATATATGTACATGTAATACATATATATTACATGTTTTATATACAGTCCAGAGAGAGGATCACAGAGTTATTACAGCAGGGCAGCTTCATACGTATATCGATATTTATGATTTAAAAAAACAAGAACAATCCTAAATTGTCCAAGTAAACTGAATAATATAAAATATAATTTAAATTGAAATATAATTGTAAATTGTTTTTTCCCACTTGTATGTAATTCATCTATAAAATTATATCTAGAAATTATATTTTCTCTCTGAAAAAGAAAAAAAAGATAAATTATATAAATCTAAATAAATAAATGTGATTTATAGAATTAATTTTAACAGAGAATATATCATCATAATCTGCAACGAGTTCTGATGTCAACGATAATTACAAAAAAATATTTAAAAAAATATAATTACTAATTTTTTTCCAAAATGAAATATTGTAGCATATCCATGCTGTTTATCACGATTCCTCCGACTGTCTTTAAATAAATTATACTATAATAATTATCCGGGCACATTGCTGGACAATTTGCCTATTGGATTATTCTAGAGAATAACTTATTTCTTATCCTTGAATCACAATGATTTCGTTATTATGAGAGAGAAATCCGCATTGCACTGTTAAAAAAATCTTTTGTCGTCCGAATAAGGAACTTTGGAATCGAGTTTGGGAGTGTGAAAAACAATCATTTCCAAACTTGTATTAGGCCGTCCGTGCTTCCAGTGAGAATGCACATATTCGACATAGCTACGGCAGAGATCGTATCGTGTTGGCCGGAAGGTGGAGTTTCAGGACCGCTCTCTTCTATGTTTCTTCCTCTCGCATCGCTTCCAGATGATGGATTAGAATCATCATCTACTAATACTTCTTGCACAACATTTGTTCCATCTATTAAACGTAAACTGTAAACAGAAAAGTGACATCATAGAATATCATTGCGCCGTACAATATACATATACATAAAGTACAATTTTTTATATCTGATTCATCACTGACTCATATGCTAATGAATTCGGCGTGAGGACATCGTTGGCAGCAGGCAGAGCGACGTAAGACGCGGTGGGTCTATTGAAATCCCAGAAACGCAATCGCATATCGGTGCCACCGGCCAGAAGGAAGCCCGAGCAATCAATGCATCCGGCATACATGGCACATACACTATGACCAGCCTGGGTGCGACTCAATGGCGGGGCGCTCGACGCCCACAAAACCATTTGTCGATGATCAGTCTCTAGATTCCACATTGAGATCTCGTTGTTACCCTGTACCGCCGAGATTATCCACGAGTGTTCCGTTGGATGTGTAATGACTTTTCGCACTCTAGCTCCTAAAGAAATATGATGATGATATTAGAAACAATGATAGAGTATACTGAGTTGTATTACATTTACATAAGGATAATGGAAATAATCGACGATAATCTACCTGTCGGATGCTTGATACTCGTTATTGGCAATTGAAATCTCAAATCCCAACAAGTATGAATACCCGAGCTCGTGCCGAGAGTCAACCATTGCTGATGACTATTCACGCAAAATGACGTGATAACTCCGTGTTTCAAATCGTTTTCCAAACGCCATGTTGTTCCAGGACATCGTAAGTCCCAGCCTACTAGTGATCCATATAACGAAGCATACACGAGAACCGATTGAGAACCGCAATCTAAATATTGTAAATCAACGGCACATCCTTCTTCCTGTTAAATAAATCACAAACAATATATCTCTAAAACATTCCCGTCAAATGTTTATATGATATTATACAGATTATAGATCTCACCTGAAGATCCAATTGACGAGTGCCAATTAGACTCATTTTACTAGAATTTGGCTCAATCCGAAGTACGAATACCGTTCCGGATGTGCTTGCTGAACTAGCTAAAGATTGTCCTTGATCGCACACGGTTAAGCCAACTAATGGGCCTCCTCTATGCATGTATGTTTGCCTATTTAAAATGTACATCAGAAAATAAATATCATTAAAATAACTTGAGATTTTAAACTTAAGAATGATATAATTACTAAGCGTGAAAAAAACACAGATATTTTTTTAATATATTCAACTGTTTTGGAAAAAAAAATGTATACCTAGAACGATTAGCGATATTTCGTCCTTCCATTTTACTGGCATCCCAAATTTTAATGCATCCGTCGGAAGAATTACTTGCAAATAAGTTAGTATCCGGTATCGGAACCAATCTATTCACTGCGGCTCGGTGCTCATGAAGATGCGCGACCGGAACTCCTCGAGGTCTCCAATCTTTTGGCATTGATGTGGAGCCTTTTAATCAACATCGATAAAAAATAGAGAAACATATCGTGATAATTTTGTGATACATATGATTGTGATACATATAATGTATGCAAACTGCTATATCTTACTTACCGACTTCACAGACATTATTGGCCCAACGTTTCGCTCTTAATATTGCTGTATGTTGCTCCTGCTTTCGACATGTTAATTGCCGTACTTCCAATCGGCATGGAGCGCACCTATCTATAAAATCATCAAAATCTCATTTAATATATTTTTTCATAGAAATCTTATAAAATTTCATTCAAACAAATCGATATTATCTCAATATTTTCATTAATTTTATTTACATTGTATGTAGGATCGTTCGTGGAGCGAGTGGTCGTTCATGAGAGAGTTAATGCTGGTCATATCTGACAGGCAATGATGAGGAGATAAATGAATATCTCCACTATGTATGCTCTGATTAGGACTACCACTGCTTCCAGTCATGTCTGACATTTTAACAATAGCATGCTGTCACACACACAATAAGATGATTATTATAAATTAGTATAAAAAATATAAAAAGTAAAGAATTATTGATATTGCTTGATTACCTGAGCATTGTCTTGAGCTGCAAACATTGTGCGCCATTCCTGATTCATTGTTGCATACGTGCCAACAGTCTCTGATGTTCTTCGATCTAATCTCTTGAAGGGTGGCAAAGTCAAGTCTCCCTTCGTATCAGGATACAATACAACGACATGATGTCTTATCCTGTCCTTTATTGGACTTAACTCCAGTTTGCCATCAGCAGGTTTTATAACATTTTGCTTCGTATCAGCAGAGCGATATTTGTTAATCTTCATCAAGTGTGGTTTCATGATTAACAATTGATCCTCAACTGCCTCCGTCATCGATTCCGAACTCAGTCGCCTAAAAAGCTAAAAAGAACATGCTTGTGAATTTTTTGCATTTTTTTCATACGCAGTAATAAATGTCATCGAAAAATAATTTATAACTTTACTTAAATTACTTTCAAGACATAAATATACAATACTTATTTTTTTATATTTTTATTTTAATATTTAGCTTTATTATGTAATAATAGACCTTTTTTAAACA